CTAGGTCCCTTCTGACCCTTAATCTATGAATCTATGAAAGCCTGGACCTTTTTTCCTTTTCCTTTTCTCCCAGGCTTTGGGCAAGGGACACCGGGAGCAAACTACCTCATTGCAGGTTGACAATTTCTGTTTTCCAACTCTGGTTTTGGAATGATGAGCCTAAATTAGTTGATCAGTTTCTTATGGCCCGGAGCAACCATGCTAATTAAAATGCTGTCAAATTTAATTATAATCAAGTAATATTTGATGACCTGCAATAGATCTTAATGAAAGGAGTGCATTAAGTTAGCATTTTGGAGGTGGGTTTTATGGTAAAAACTCATTACACTTACTGAAGCCTCTGTACTATCATCGATTTTAAGATATAAACATTTTAAAACTCTAGGCACAGACAGAAGCAATAATTTTTGCCCAATCTGGCTACAGAAAGCAATTTGTAGGCATGATCAAACACAAGTACATGGCTGCAGACTGCTTAAAAAAATGACCAATTGTGTGAAAAGCTTTTTTCAGTTCCCTCTGGAAGGTGGGGCCAGGTGTATTGGAGCCCCCCAAGATGGAGGGGGGCTACAATTAACCCACCCCATCCTCTAGCACTGCTGGGGAACCTGTAGAAGGAGCTCCCTCTGCTCCCTTTCCCTCTCCCATTCTGAAAACATTCTGGCAGCAAGGAGGGGCTGTTGGTAGGGAAAACCAGCTGCAGGCTTGCAGGCAGCAGCTAGATTGCCCTCCCCCTTGGAACCACAGTGAACTTGTGTTTGGTCCGAGGGATCCTTGTAACTCAGAATGCTTCCTGCAAAGCATTCTCAGTTACAGCAGGGAGCTGCACTTCTGTCTGCACCGCTTATTCCTAATATGCTTCTGATTTGATTGCTTCTCATGGACCTTGTTTTTTATGTCCAGGTTTCCACAGTTTATAAGATTCCTTTGTTATTTTTAGGTTATTGAATAGCTCATTGGCTAGCCAAACAGATCTCTTATTACACTTCCTTTATTGATGCAAAAGAAGCTTTATTGATGCAAAAGATGAATCCTGATGAGATTCATCCTAGAGTACTCAAAGAATTGTCTGAAGTTATTACAGATCCAGTGACTGTTATGTATGAATATTCATGGAGGTCAGCTGAGATCCCAGAAGACTAGAAAAGAGCAAGTATACTAACATATTTTTTTAAGAACAAGAGGAACTAAGAAATCACAGTGTGGCCTCTGTAACTGGAGAGGTACTGAAGCACATAAACAAATAATCAGTTTGTAAGCACTAGAAGATAATTAGGTGTTAAATAACAGCCAGCATAGCTTTGTCGAGAGCAATGCTGCCTATTCAGTCTGATTTTCTTTTATGGCAATATTAAGGTCTTCATGGATGTTGGGGAGCAGTAGATGTGATATACCTCAACTTTAATAAATGTTTTGAGAACAGTATGGAAGACAGTATCAAAAGTAATCTAGGAAGTATAAGGTGAGAGCATAACTGTTTGGGAAATCATACATAAAAGGGCACATCTACACATGCAGTAATGCGTCGTAATTACAGTGCATTGTTTAGTACCTGTAATAACAGGTACTAATTTAATGCACCATAATTGGTGGTATTGCACAGTAGTGCTGGCACACATCTTTTACATGATGCTAATGCACAGTAGACTAATCCTATTGTGCATTAACGTGGCTTTTGCTGTGACATGCTAATGCATAATAGAATTAATCTACTGCGTATGTAGCATACCATGTAGATGCACCCAAAAAGTAGTTTTCAGTGGCTCAATATCACAATGGAAGAAGGTATAAAACAGAGTTCCCCCAGAAGTTAGTGTTGTACCTGGTACTGTTCAACATCTTTATTACTAACTTGGGGGAAGGATTGAATGTACCTTTAGTAAATTTACTAATGACACTAAGCCATATATTATAGTAGACACTTAAGACAAGATTTGGATTTAAAATGACCGTAAGAAATTGGTAAGGGTCTAGCACCATGGTATTCACAGTTTTGTCCCCATAAGCCCGATTAAATGTTGTGGGGCCAGTCCGCTGGCTGGATCAGGCCCAACACCAGATTTGGGCCCTGTGCCACCTCTGGCCAGCTCCTGTGCTACCTCTGCTCAACTGGGGTTGGGCTCCAGCCCCGTGCCACCCTGCATGCCTGATGTAGCACTCAGGGCCACAGACTGCTGAGCTCCCCACAAATCCATGGGGAGTCCTGCTGGCCAGATGACAGTTCCAGGGGCCAAGGGTTGAGTACCTATGGTCTAAAATGACTTGAATGAAATTCAGTAAAGACAAGTTCAAAGTATTATACTTTGAAATAATAATCAGAAGCACAAATACAAGATGGGGAATAACTAGCTAAGCTGCAATAATGAAGACAAAAAATAATGTTACAACGTTGCAAAATGGCTATATACTGGGAATATATTTAATAGGAGTATCGTATGCTACTTGCAATAAGTAATTCATATACAGTAAAAGCTGTATTATCTGGCACTTTACAATCCGGAATGCTCTATTAACCAGCATCTGTCCCACCGTGCCATATCTGGTTTCGCCACTGCAAGCTGAGTCCTACTTCTTCTTCACGGACCATGGCCCAGGGCAAAGCA